CTGAAGGCCAGTCTCCAAGGAGGCTTGATCTCCTCTACCTCGCTTTCTTTTTCCTCCTTTGCTTTGGAACTTGAATGCAATTGGGACAAAACTGCCCATCCCTTTCTGTAAATAAAGAGCCTTAATGCGTAAGGCATATACGCATTAATGCGTAAGGCATATACGCTGTTTAACATCTACATGAAGCCGCTGGGCGAGATCATCCGGAGTTTCGGAGTGAGATGTCATCTGTACGCAGATGATGTCCAGCTCTGTCACTCCTTTCCACCTGCTACTAAGGAGGCTGTCGAGGTCCTGAACCGGTGCTTGGCCGCTGTGACGGTCTGGATGGGGGCGAACAAATTGAAATTGAATCCAGACAAGACAGAGGTACTCCTGGTCAGTCGTAAGACCGAACAGGGTATAGGATTACAGCCTGTGTTGGATGGGGTCGCACTCCCCCTGAAGACACAGGTTCGCAGTTTGGGTGTGATCCTGGATTCATCGCTGAGCCTGGATCCCCAGGTCTCAGCGGTGACCAGGGGAGCATTCGCACAGTTAAAACTGGTGCGCCAACTGCGACCATACCTTGGGAAGTCTGACTTGGCCACGGTAGTCCATGCTCTGGTTACATCCCGTCTTGATTACTGCAACGCTCTCTACGTGGGGTTGCCTTTGAAGACGGCTCGGAAGCTACAACTAGTCCAACGGGCGGCGGCCATGGTACTAACTGGAGCGGGACGTAGGGAGCGCACAACTCCTCTGCTGTACCAGCTCCACTGGCTTCCGATTTGCTACCGGGCCCAATTCAAAGTGCTGGCATTGGCCTTTAAAGCCCTAAACGGTTCTGGCCCAACATATCTATCCGAACGTATCTCGGCCTATCAGCCCACCAGGCCCCTAAGATCTTCAGGGGAGGCCCTTCTCTCTATCCCACCTGCTTCACAGGTGCGGCTCGTGGGAACGAGAGATAGGGCCTTTTCTGTGGTAGCCCCCCGGCTTTGGAATGCCCTCCCTGTAGAGATAAGATCTGCCTCTTCATTGATGGCATTTAGGAAAAAACTAAAAACATGGATGTTTCAACAAGCATTTGGTTAATTTTAATGCAATGAAGTTAATGACCAAGGATCGGCAATCACGGACGATGAGATTTGGCGAGCGCGCGGGGGAGCCCAGGAAGGGCTCGTGCGAAGGCTGCCTTGGCTCCCTCGCGGCCTCGCCATTTGGTGAAGCCGCAAGGGAGCCAAGGGAGCCTTCACACGAGCCCTCCTTGGGCTCCTCCATGGCCTCACCATTTGGCGAGCGCGCGGGGGAGCCCAGGAAGGGTTCGCGCGAAGGCTGCCTCGGCTTCCTTGGCTCCCTTGCAGCCTCGCACGAAGCCTCTCTCGCCTAGACTGTGCTCCCGCCGGGCGGCAGGGGCACGATCTAGGAGAGAGAGGCTTCATGCAAGGCTAGGCCCCGCACGAAGCCTCTCTCGCCTAAGCTGCGCCCCTGCCGCCCGTGCTAGGCCCTGCACGAAGCCTCCCTCGCCTAACCCGCGTTCCTGCCAGCCGGCGGGATCGCGATCTCGGCGAGGGAAGTTTCATGTAAGGCAGCCATTTTGAGGGGGCGGGGCCAACCGAGGCCCCTTCGCGACCCCCAAAAAATAGCCCAGCGACCCCCAGGTTGAGAACTGCTGCTCTAAAACCTTCTGAACAGCAGGGCTTTGAGATTTCCAAATATCCTGAGTTTCAGCTTGTGTGTTTAGTCTCAATTTTTTTTCCTATGTTCTACCAACTTGATTTAGACAAGTTATGCTTGTCTAAATCTCTACTTAAGTGTCCCAATGTAAAACCATTTTGAGTGATGAGCTGTTGTTTGGCCTGATTTCATCTTGACATAAATGCAGCACTTTGAGTTAAGAGCTAGTGCCAGAGGGAGTGCTAACACCAGGGTACAGGCTTTTAGGGCTTCAAAAGAGCAACTTCAGTGCCTCGTGCTCTTGTCCGCTTTGGGGGACTGCTGTCTGCTTTGCTCTTGTCTGCTCTGAGGAACTTTGGGTTAGTTGGTTTTGTGTGGTTTTTATTCCTGGTATGTTTGGCTTCATGAAGGGGGGGAGCAAGGGAGGGAGGGAGGCTGGGATGAGTACAGTATGATGCTTCTGCCTCTTCACTTTGTGCTTCCTTGACACAACTTTGTGCTTCTACTATTTTAAAATTGGGCTTTCTTTTTTATTGTTCCATGTAAATGTGCAGGCTTTGCCTTGCTGTTACACTGAACAACACACATTTTGTTGCCTTAAATATGCTTCCTTGCCACAACTTTGTGCTTCTACCATTTTAAAGTTAATCTTTCTTTATTTGATTGTTCTATGTGAATGTGCATGTTACATTATTTGTTATTTATAAAGTACATTTTCTTATTTAAAAACACATAACAAAAATGGGGATGGGGGCCTGGAACAGATTAATAACAGTTCAATGGTAAAATTTGCTTTGAGACAATAGTGTTTTGAGTTAAGATCTCGGTCATGGAACAAATTAAACTCATGTTTTAATTTTGAAAGTAAAGTAGCACATGCCCTAAAAGATGAGGATCTGCCATGTTTTTGTGTAAATCCGCATTGCACAATGTCTTCCTTCTGAAATAGTTCTCTGTGTTCTCTAGTGATGGCAATTTCCTTGTTCTGGATAAATATTATAAAGCTGATGTTTCCATAAAGTTTTTTTTACAGTTTAGTCTAAAAGGAACATATAAATTGTGCACTCATTCTGAAGGAAAAGGAATTTGGTTAACTAAGGGCCATGGTTACTATTTGCAAGGGTATTGCATTAGGGAAACAAAACATGGCAGAAGTATGGAGTTACAGGGATGCAAAACATATCTGCCTCAGATGTGTCCTAGGAGTGATACTTCTAACCTGGTAATCAAGCTTGACTCTGCCCAACCATTACTGTGAATGGTTATTTTCCTTCTCAAACTCATAGACTTAGAGGAGAAATTGTCCAGGTCAACCCCTAAGGATATTCGCTTCCCCTCTGGAATCCTGAACCCAAAGCTGAAACCATCCTCGCTGATCTTTCATTCTCTCTATACTAGGGATCCCCAAACTAAGGGCTCTTCCTAGGATCTGAGCCCAGGTTTTTCTTTTATCCCAAATTATCTGGCAGTGTGGATTCATATAATCCAGTTTAAAGCAGAAAACCTGGGATCATATCCTGGGATATAGGGCCTGTCTGTGGGCCAGATGTGGCCCTCCAAGGTCATTTACCCAACTTAAACTTTAGACTTAGAATCACTCTAAGTCTGAAACGACTTGAAGACACACAACAACAACAACAATCCTAATTAACTTGACTATCTCATCAGCCAAAAGCAAGCCCACATTCCAATTGAAATGCTGGTAAGTTTATGTTGGCTAAAATTATTCTTCATTTTAAATATTGTTTCATGGTATTTTGCACTGCAAATAAGAAATGTGCAGTATGCATAGAAATTTGTTCAACCCCCCCCCCCCCCCAACTATAGTCTGGCCTCCCAACAGCCTGGGGGACAATGGAGTAGTCCTCTGTTTAAAAAGTTTGAGGACCCCTGCTATATACCACACACTAGACTGACAATTAACCATACACAAACCCGCCAATTAAACAATATCCTCATCCTAGTGCCATAATGGCAACTTCCCATGAGGACCAAGTGGAAATTTGCCCCATGGCTCTGAAGCAATTGGCTGGAACTTACACTGACAACTGGGTGGGTGCATGAGTGAAACAAGTGTGAAGAAGCAAGGGCTGGGGAAGAGCCTCAGGTTTATACTAGCATGTTAGCTCTTCCTCATATCCTGTGTAATGATGGATGGTAGTGCATTTGACTGCCACGTCTCTCTCTCTTCTTCAATCCTTGTCAGTCCTTGACAGTTTTGCTGGCGACACTGTCACTAAAGGTGCTGAATTAGCCACCACATAATGAATACAAAATTATAAAAAATACATATGCAATCGCCAACACAGGAAAGGAAGAACACATAGGAGAAAAAACTGATATGAATGTTGTGTCCTCAGTGATATGGAATTAAGACAGTTCCTTGAGAATCTGTCTCCTTTAATGTTATTCCCTTCCAAATTCTTTACAGAAACCTAACTTTGTGATATATGTGTTTAGAAAAGGGAGCAATCCTGAATTTCTTTCTTATAATTTAATTATCTAGCTTGGATTTCTTGCTCCTGTTGCAATGTTTATAGATGTGCTGTTTTTCTGTCCAAAGTGAAGGACAAGGTAGTATATCCACTCCTGATTCAAATACAAAAGCTAACTAGATAGTGGGATAGTACACCCCCGCCATTTTCTAGTTCTCCAAATCCAGATAGTCTAATTTGTATTTTATGAAAATGTGCATATATTCAAATAGAATCTTATGTACATTTCAATATAATATAAATTAAGCACATTAATTGTTTCATTTGTGTTTGAAGATCTGAGATGGCCACTAAAGTCTTAACAGTTAATGTGCAAAACTTGAAACAAGATAGGATGACCTTGGACCATTCAATATCTCAGAGGCCACTTCCACACAGCTGAATAAAATCCCAAATTTTCTGCTTTGAACTGGCATATATGGCAGATAACCCAGTACAAAGCAGATATTGTGGAATTTTCTGCCTTGATATTCCGGGTTATATGGCTGTGTGGAAGGGTCCTTAGTCAAAGGTACCTTACAGAGGTTTTGGTGGAGTAAACAGGGAGGGAGAAATCCTGTAAGGTGCCCATGTACATTTCAGATGCAATATAGATTAAAAATAAAAATAATTGTAAGACATAAATGTTTCCAGTGGTATCTTTTTCACTTCTTGCCACAAGGATATACATGTGTGCAGGGCTGTTTGCACTTTTAAAAAAACCCATGGCAAAATTTTGTAAAATACCTATTATATTATTATTTTGTTTACTCATACCCTTCTTTTTCGCTCCAAAAGGAGACTCAAAGTAGCTATGAAAACACCATAGGGAGCCTTGTGAGTAACACAGTATTATCTGATTCACAGGGTGAAAATGCAGAATAAAATGTGGGCAAACAGCAGGAATCACAGGGAAAAAAACAAGGTATGAGTTCCTTCAAGGATGTGTATTAAATATTTCAACTAAAAATATTCAAGTATCACTCTTTTTGTCCTGATCGATTGCAATAAAAAGGTTTAATTGGCTAATCTATACTAATGTGGGAGCCCCCAGTGGCACAGTGGGTTAAAGCGCTGAGCTGCTGAGCTTGTTGACCAAAAGGTTGCAGGTTCGATTCTGGGGAGCGGCGTGAGCTTCTGCTGTCAGCCCTATCTTTTGCCAGCCTAGCAGTTCAAAAACATGCAAATGTGAGTAGATCAATAGGTACTGCTCTGGCGGGAAGGTAACGGTGCTCCATGCAGTCATGCCAGCCACATGACCTTGGAGGTGTCTACGGACAATGCCGGCTCTTCGGCTTAGAAATGGAGGTGAGCACCACACCTCAGAGTCAGACATGACTGGACTTAATGTCAGGGGACAACCTTTACCTTATGCTAATGTGCCTGTGTTGGTTTCCAAGTCTTTGTAAATTACTACAACTGGCATAATGATCAATATTTATAGTTTTTGCATTTTCCATTTACCAACTGAGAACGCCTTCCTACCCAAACATATGTATAATAATCTGATAATTGATGCAATACATTCTGTTATTGATGTAGTTGTAATCTACAGATCCTTTTGTTGGTGAATATCTTTATGCAATTCCAATCTATGGCAACCCTATCATGGGGTTTTCTTGGCAAAATTTGTTCAGAGAGGGATGTTTCTTGCCTTCCAGTGAGACGGAAAGAGAGTGAATTGCCATGATCACACTGTAGGTTTCTACGGCCCAACACTTTGTATTGTGACAAGTTTAGTTCACAACAATGTATTTTTATTTTGCTGGAAAAATCTATCTTTTTCCAGCAAAATGGGAGACCTAAGGAATATGACCTATAACATACATAATTTCCTCTGCTAGTAAAATAAACTGACACTTTAACCCTTTGAGCGTTGGTTTCACTACATCATTTTTATATCTGTTCTATTTTGCACAAACCTTGATTTTGCCATGTTATATAAGGGACTCCGGTTTACTACACCATTTAAAATAATTGAACTTGAGTATTCCATGAGCTGTCCTGGAATCAAAGCCCAGTGGATAGCAAGGGATTAGTGTATTTAAAGATAAGTAAAGGGAGGGTTAAATCTTACCAAAGAACTTTATCACTTTTGCTTGCAGATCTATAATAAGTCTTCAAAACAGAGATAATTTCCCTTCAAATTGCAACTTTTACTGCAGGGCATTAGCAGATGGTCGTTCTGCATTTTAAATCTCTGTGAAGCTGTAAGATTCAATTATTGACTAAACCCTTAAAGGCTTGTTTCTCTTCAAACAATAGTGTGGCACTTAACATGATGGCTAACTGTTTATGACATAGGCTATGGCTCCTAGTGCAACTCCAGAAGACTTGGAGATTTTATTATTTTTTGGAAAATTAATGCTTGGAATCCTTCCCAACTAGTGGTCCAAAAGAGCTTCAGGTAGAAAGTCTACATTCTAGTTTATGTCCATCTAGCTGGCTAGGATGTCAACTTTAGGCTTATACAACTCTATTCTCCAATAGAGGAAAATAGCTGGAGAATTACCTGGGAGGTTAACACCACAGCCCTTATTACCTTCTGTCTGAGGTTATTGCCTCACAGTCTAGTGATAGGATCAATTTGGCTTTTACCCATTTTGGTCCTGTAGCATTGATGAGAAATACTCTACTAAATATATATTTATCACCATCTTATTCTCTGCCATGAGAACAGGAACACATCATGAAATAGAGGTAGCCTTCATAGCGGTGGATGCCGAGAAGGCATTTGATAATATGAGATGGGAATTTTTCAAACTACTTCTGAGAGAGATGGACTTCGGCCACAGGTTCATCAATGCAATTGAGGCAATCTATTGCAAACAAAAAGCCACACTATGGATTAATGGATATCCCTCAAATCCTATAGCAATAAGAAAAGGCACACGACAAGGCTGACCCCTCTCCCCCCTCATATTTATCATGTCCCTAGAAATCCTGCTGAGAAAGTTGAAAGAAAACAAAAACCTACCCCCATTGAGCGTAGGAAAACAGGCCAACAAATTTAGAGCTTTCGCCGACGATTTGATATGCGTTGTTGAAAACCCAAGAGACCAAGCCCAGAAATGACCTCGATGATAGAAACATACGGTAATTTAGCGGGCTTTAAGATAAATAAGGAAAAAACTAAAATATTAACCAAAAATATGACAAAAGAAAATCAAGAGACACTCTCTAAATCTACAGGAATGCAAATAGTGCCGAAAATCAAGTACCTTGGAATACACATCTCTGCTAAGAACTCCCAATTGTTTAAAAATAATTATGAACCAGCCTGGACCAAGATCAGAAAGGATATGAAAAATTGGACAAATCTCAATATATCACTCCTTGGAAGGATCGCCATGATAAAAATGAACATTCTCCCGAGAATTCTCTTCATATTCCAAAATTTACCAATAATACAAAGCAAGAAAGTATTTAGTGAATGGAATAAAGAAATAAGACGCTTTGTGTGGAAGGGAAAAAAACCGAGGATTAAACACATCCATATGATAGATGCTCCTAGCAGAGGAGGTTTGGGGCTACCGGACTTGAGCCTATACCACGACGCTTGCGGGATCTCGTGGATCAAAGACTGGTTTCTCCTGAAAAAAGAAAAAATCCTAGCCTTAGAGGGACATGATTTAAGAATTGGGTGGCACTCATATCTATGGCTGAATCAAACAAAAAAGAAACGAAATTTCAACAATCATGTTATAAGAAAACCACTACTAAAGATATGGGAGAAATATAAAGACCACCTATATCCCGGGAAAACACCTATGTGGCTCTCACCGCTAGAAGGAGAACAGAGACGCCTGCTAGGCTGGAGGACGTGGCCCACATACAAAACAGCCACCATCAAAAAAGAAGGAGTCCTCCACAAAGACAAAAGAAGAACTCGCAAAGGAATTCAAATCCTTCTCTTGGCTACATTACTTTCAACTTAGAGAGCACTTTACCAGAGATCAAAAAAAGGGCTTCATGGAGAAGGATGACTTCTGGGAAAAGATTCTACAAAAGGACAAAAAAAAAGTAACCTCAATATACAACTTACTATTAAAATGGGCAACTGAAACAGAGTTGATAAAAGAATGTATGACAAAATGGGCAAAGAACATCGGAAGAACAATAATGCTGAAAGAGTGGGAACAAGTATGGTCGAGAAGGATTAAATATACCTATTCTTCAACTTTGAAAGAGAACTGGTACAAAATGCTGTACCGATGGTACATGACACCACAGAAGCTGGGTCAAATGTATAAAAGCTGTTCCACAAATTGCTGGAAATGTACTAACCAGACTGGAACATTTTTCCATCAGTGGTGGTCTTGTCCCATGGCAAAGAAATACTGGAAAAACGTGAATGAAATCTGCGGAAAAATCCTAAATCTCAAAATACAAGAAAAACCGGAATACTATCTATTGGGATTATTTAAAGAGGAATGGGAACTAAACACAAATGAGGACATTCTGCTCACATACCTCACGACAGCAGCAAGAATAGTGTTTGCGAGAAAATGGAAATCGAAAGAAATACCAACGCAAGAAGAATGGTTAGAAAAAGTCCTAGAAATAAAAGAAATGGACAGACTAACATATGCACTCAAAGACACATATGGACGCCCACTCAAGAGAACAGACTGGAACCCATTAAAGGAATACATGGAGAGAAGCGTAGCCCCTAAAAAAGAGGAGTAGATCAAACAAGAAGAATCTTAAAAGAAAGATAAGGGACAAGCTATGAAATAATAGTGTAATAGAAGAAATGAACCCGAGAACGTGGAGAAGATAGAGTTGGAAGTCAGTCCCCCCCCCCCTAGATCCCAACACTCTTCCCTGATACTTCCCTATACAGACCCTGCATGTACCTGAATACTTAGCTAAACTTTTTGATAGGGAACCCCCCCTCTTTCCCCATACCTACCCCCCCCCCCAAAACCCTCTCCTCCCCTCAATCCG